AGAAGCTGATAATGGACAACCACTATGGTACCTCTCACACCACCCAGCTATACACCTTAAGAAACGTCAGAATACCAGGGTTGTGTTCGACTATGCCAGCAGATGTGACGGGGTTGACCCAAACGGCTGTCTACTACAAGGCCCAGACCTGACGACTCCGCTGGTTGAAGTGCTGTGCAAATTCCGTAAAGGACCAATCGCGGTAGAGGCTGATATCCAGGAAATGCTTACGCAAGTTAAAGTCACCGAAGGACAAAGGGACGTATTACGGTTGTGTTGGTGGCCGGAAGGAAACCTAGACGGACCTGCTCAGAAGTATTGGATGATGATGCATCGGTTCGGCGCGATATCCTCTCTGGCCTGACCAGAAAGTGAGCAACCGCGCGTTTCGAATTTTTGAAGTGCTATAATTTAAGTAAAACTTTTGCCCTTTTAGTGAAATAACGTACGTTATTTCAAGCCTTTTACGTATCAAGGTATTCCCAAGGTACAGCTATCACTGGAAAAATATCGCTTTTTCCTCGAGTTCCATTAATTAGACCGTATTCTTCGTTTTTTGGAGTAGCGTTATAGTCAAAGGCTTAGAGGTATGCCACCTCGACTTCAATAAGCGTTCGACTCTGTGAACGATCGCCTACTGTTAATCAAGTTGAAAGCCGTCGTCATAGAGGGGCAGATATATAGCCGGATATCTGACTTCTTAAGTGGTTAATCTTTCTCCGTAAGAGTAGGTAGTTCCAGCTCCAACCTGAGGAACATCACTGGTGGACTACCTCAGGGATCGGTACTGGGACCCATCTTATTCGTACTGTTTATAAATGACCTAGCCGCAACGCTGCACTCACCTAGCTTTTTCTTCCTGGACGAAGTACAAGCCGTACGATCAGAGGGGCGAGAAGGTCTGGCCGGGGCTATTAGAGCAGTTCTCAGGTAGACCCTCATGTGGGCTTACCACTGAATGCTGGCAAATGCCAACTGCTGTCACGAGCTGTAGAGGGTATCACAGTGGCCACAAGGAAGGTCCCTTCACTATGGAGGCGGCGGAAAATGTAAAAGACCTAGGAATCTTGGTAACCGCTGATCTTAGATGGTCGAATCAATGTGCCAGAGCGGCACAGAGAGCCCGAGGTGAATTATTTAGACTAAGGTCATCGTTGTCCTGCCGTGAACCTGAGGTATTCATACCTTTATACATGGCCCTAATAAGGCTTTACCTAGAGTATTGTGTCCAGGCATAGTCACTTTCTTCAAAAAGGATGCTGTCTATTTAGAACGGGTTCAATGGCTGGCAACAAGAATGGTTGAGGGCCAGCGTGGCAAAGAATATAAGCAAACGCTTCAGGACCTGGGACTATTCTCTTTAGAAAACAGAAGGCTCAGGGAAGATATGATAGAAACCATTAAGATAACGAATAGCATGTCTGTTATTAGGCCAGAAACCCTGTTCCAGGAACCACTAGATTCCCGTACAAAGGGACACAAAATGAAAATAGCCAAGACTCGGTCTCGATTGATCTCCCGGTCACACTCCTTTAGTAACAGGCTAGTCAGTAGTTGGAACAGATTGCCTGTAGAAATAGTAGAACTGCAGGCCGTACTAGCATTTAAGACAGTCCTGGACGAACGGTGTTCTGAACTCGTAACTGAAGTTCAGGTCTGACTATCCATCTAGCGGCTTAGGAAAACCATGAGTAGCAGCCGGACATTCAGATTGCATGTTTTTTGTTTCGTCCCGCCATTTATTGTCATGTAGCCTGGAAGCTGAACACTCACGCATAACAATCTCTCGCCTTGGAGGTGATATGAGGTATCTTTCCCTTTTCTTTCTCTTTTCAGCAAACAAGTTAAAGACTACTATTAGCAGTGGTGGGTGTCATACTTGACAGCATACCGCCGAAGAAATTCTGGACCCTCCATTGGCCGTATTCATTTTCTGTCCTATGCAAACTGAACTAAACTGAACTAAACTGAACCTAGATGGACCTTCCCAGAAGTATCGGATGATGGTGCACCCTTTTGTTCAAACTTTGCTTTAAAATTGACTGTAAATCAATTTGCTAAGTGTTTTGATCCACTGTTGACTGCTGTGTTAAGCATAATTTTTACGTGGACGATTTTCTGGGGTGTTCTGATAGTATCGAAGAAGCAGTTCGACACATTTGCGACTTATCTAAGCTACTGTTCATGAGAGGGTTCAAGTTAACGAAGTGGATGTCTAACAGTCGTCAAGCAATTGATTGCATCCCAGTTGGTGAACAGTTATCGTGTCTCCGGTACTCACAGGGAAGTTCGTTACAAAAACATAGGGCACTTGGTGTGCAATGGAATACGGAGAAATATGAGTTTTTGTTCCAACTTCACCTACCGGAAAAGACGGCGACTCGCAGTGGGATCCTGTCCTTGAGATACCGCCTTTACGACCCGATGGGGTTCGTCTCACAGTGGCTATTGTCCGGCAAGATTCTACTGCAGGACCTGTGTAGAACAAAGTAACTTTGGACGAAGCCTTGTGTGAGGTAGCTCACCAAACCTGGCAAGGCTGATGGATGAGCCTTTCCAAGCTGGGCGACATACGGCTGCTCCGTTAGATACCAGGAATACGCCGATGGGAGGCAAGTGAGTTACACGTTTTTGCAGACGGGTCGGAGGTTCGATGCAGGGAAGCAGCTCACCGCTACTCTTCTCAACCTCGCTGAAGGAGACATAACAGTTTATTATTCGCGAAGTCCAGCGTTGCTCCACAAAAAGCAGTCTCAATACCCAGGCTAGAATTGGCTTCAGTGGTTTAAGCCGCTAGGGTAGCGAAGACGCCGAAGTGTTTTCACTCGATCGAATGAACCTTAACGTACTGAACCAATTCCGCCATAGTTCTTCACTATGTTAAGAACGTCCGGAAGCGCTTCAGCATATTTGTTGCCAAACGGCTGGCCATCATCCACGAAGAAACCGAGATATGTCAATGACGGCAAGTGAAATCTGGTGACAATCCAGCCGACTACTGCTCCAGAGGTGTTCTGAACTTGGAAAAAATCATTAAATGATTACACGGTCCAGCCTTTTTGAAGGGACAGACCAGCGAATGGCCCGACACTAGGATTCTCAATGTTGCTTCGGGCGTGCTGGAAACTAAGTGCACCGTTACGTTAGTCACTACTTCGATCAACATTTGCTGCAGAGGTTGCATCGGTTTTCACGATAGACAAAAGTGCTGAGGGTGGTTGTCTGGCTGACTCGGTTCAAGCAACAACTTTTCATGATGAAAGGACTCCTACTGAACGACACCTTAAATACTGGACCCATCATTCCAGCCGAACTGAAGACAGTACAGGCCGTTATTATTCGTATGGTACAATCACAAGCCTTCCCGTCGGAGATCCAGTGGTATAACAAGGTGAATTATGATTCCGACAAACTTTTATTACATCACAGCTCTTTCGAAAGGCTCTGTGCCATATTGATAGATGATTTGCTGAGGGGAAGTGATAGGTTGACTAACTCTAAATCGGATTTTGATGCAAAACACCCCATTATCTTGCCTGACAATCACCACCTCACGCAAACACTCATCATACACACTCAAATGCAAGAGGGTCACGCAGACAAAAACCACCTACTTAATACGATCCGCCGTCGCTTTTGGATAGTGAAGGGGAGAGCTAATGTTAAGCGAATGGTGGGCAACCGTCTATTTTGTTTTCGTTAGAAGGCTACGTCTAGCGAACAACTGATGGCGTCCTTACCAATTTCCAGGGTACGACAAGGTTGATGGTCCTTCGTCGAAATCAGAGTAAACTACTTCGAATTACTGTGGGTGAGGAGAAAGACACCAACAAGGAAATGGTATGGTTGCCTGATAACCTGTCTTCCATCAAGAGCGTTGCATGTAGCGACAGTCCACAGTATTTCGACCGACTCCCCTCTTATGATCTGGCAGAGATTCGTGGGTAGGCGAGGCAACCCATCGCATATGTTCTCAGACAACGGATACAATTTCTTTGGTGCACAGAAGGAGTTGAGCAACTGGCTGATGCGGTTGAACAAACGCGCTCTACAAGATCGGATGACGCAATTTATAACCCAGTGATATTTTAACCCTCCATACGACAGTCACCGTGGTAGAGTGTGGGAACGACTCAACGATCTATACGGAGAATAATAAAAACGTTATGTGAACAACAGGCTCCAGAGGACGAGACGTTGAGTACTTTTGGGGGAGAGGCGGAAAGAATACTTACCAACCGATTGCTTTTACCTGTCTCCAGCGATGATACTAGGCATTTCGACCCAACTGAGTGGCCAGGAACGTTGTGCCGTACTCAAACTCGAGCCACTGTGGCTTCGGTGCATGAAACTTATTTTCTGCTGCTTTCACCGGCTTATGCATCGCACACCGCTTCCCTCTGAATTCCCACGCCTAACCACACGTACAACCTACTCCCTACATCAAAATAACTCACGCCTCATAATCAAAAAATACAGAACAGCAATCAGATCTAAATTCTTTAACATTAAATATACTCGATAATGGAACAGATTACCTCCCCATTTAATCACCTGTAACTCCCACTTCGGATTGAAAGTATTACTTAGCCTCTACAAAAGTGTAAAAACAGCCACATACCGGCGTTGGAAAGTTTTGTTTAAATTAATCGTTTGTTTTACTGCATCAATTGTATTTTGATGATTGGTCCGCGGAAGATTTTCATTTTGCCCGTCGAACAATCTAATTGGTTCAGGGTTATATATAAACCCTGTGATTCCCTTACCAAATGTGATTCGTGTCCAGTGGACCAGAGAAAATATATTGAGAACATTTCCTGAAGAACTACCTTTTGATATGGTGGCAGCAGAAAATAATGCAAACTTCCCAAAGTCGAAGAGACTAAATAGTCGACTTCAGGTCCAACCGCCGGCGTACCTGACTATGGAGGAGACGGGGCGACTGGCTAATAACTGGAGACTGGCGAACACAGTAGGAAGATTTTCGTACACTGACAGCGATGGACCGCGAATCCAGTCCCGTACAATTGGCTTTGTTCCGTTACACGATTGGTCCGGCTGCTCTGCGTGTCATGAATGGATTCACTTACAGTCCGAATGAGGACCGTGGAGATTGGCAGGTGGTAATAACGAAGATGGAACAGTACTGTCTTGGCGAATCCAACGAGACTTACGAACGATACATTTTCAACTAGAGGAGACAGCAGCATGGTGAGTCCCTCGACGCATTCGTCCTGCCGCTAAAGTCACTGGCCCGGTCGTGCAATTTCCGTGCCTGCCTGGAAGAGAATCTAATAAGGGGTCGAATTGTCGTTGGCCTACGGGATTCTGCTGCGGTGAAGCGCCTCCTAAAACTTCCAAAGCTGACATTGAAACAATGCATTGATATTTGTTGGGGTGAAGAGGCAGCAGAGAAGCATATAAAGACGCCTACCACAAAAGAGGATTATGGATTGTGCAAAGTTGCCGCTGAAAATCGAACACATCTAACAGCTCCTTGTCGTTTCTGTGGCCGCATACATCTTGTGGGAAGAATCAACTGCCCTGCTTGGGGGAAAAACGCGTGATAATTTCAAAAAGCGTAATTACTTTGCAGCAATGTGTTTCGAGAAGAAATAATCAACTTTAGAACCTCACATTCGAACAGCTAATTGTGTCTATGGTGTACAACTATCGACCAAACGGAAAAGCATATTTGCAAAAATGTTGATGAATGGAGAAAAAGTAACGTTCCAACTAGATTCTGGTGCGCCATCAACATAATAGCGAGAAATTGCATACCCGATACCAAATTGGATCCCACCAAGACGAGATTAGTTATGTGGAACGATGCAAACGTGGAGCCGAAAGGAGAAACCACTATTACACTGAAGAATCCCAGGAATGGAGTCTCCTCTGTCGTGAGTTTTGTCGTCATGGAGCCGGGTTATGTTCCAATCCTTGGATACGAGCCCATCGAGCGACTTGGTTTTGTATCGTTTAACTATGATTCATTTTTTCATCACGTTTTTGGACAAGGAATACTACCTGAAAAAAGTATGCCTCTGTTTTAGATGGAAAACTGGGAAAGTTGCCAGGAACTGTGACACTTCACATAAACGACGCAGCCGAGCCCGTTGTTTTACCAACGCGGCGGACCCCACTTGCTGATAGAGAGGAATTTTTGCGCGAAGTGAGTAACCGTATCACAAGGGCCGTTTTGGAGAAAGTCGACGAACCAACGGACTGAGTGATTCAGGTTGTGGTGGTGACGAAAACGTCTGGAGAATTGAGAATATGTATCGATCGGAAACCATTAAACAAGGCATTAAGACGGGAGCACTTCACCCTACCCATTTTCGACGACATACTGCCGGAATTAGCTAATCCAAGATACTTCACGAAGGTGGATTTAGCCTCTGCATTTTTGTATTTAGATCTAGACGATAGATCAAGCTACTTGACCACTTTTGGCACGCCACTCGAGTGATATCGTTCGAAAAGACTGCCGTTCGGTTTGAAGGTATCATGTGAAACTTTTCAGAAACGAATCCTCCAAGTGGTAGATGATTTACCCGGTATATTGTGCGTGGCGGACGACATTCTTGTTTTTGATAAAAATGCAGATGAACGGAACAGACGTTTCGAAGGCTGTTTATAGCGTTGTATACGAGACGGAATCAAGCTGAAACAGGACAGGCTAATCTTTTGTCAATCGGAAGTCAGCTTTCACGGTCGCGTACTTACAACTGAAGGGATCAAACCGGACCCGGACAAGGTAAAGGAGATTGTAGAAATGCTTCCCCCAACCAATGCAAAAGGCGTATCATGATTCAATGGAATGATAAACTATCTCAGAAGATTTCTCCCTGAACTAGCGGAATTGATGCGACCGATTCGACGTTTGACGCAAAAAGGAGAACCGTGGTTTCGGACACAAAACCAACAGGTGACTTTTGATTGCGTCAAGCAGCTTATTGTAAGAGCCCCAGTGCTGGCTTACTTCGATCCAAATGCACCTCTGTGCATACATTGTGACAGCAGTCAATTTGGCTTAGGTGCCGTGCTCCTAGAAAATGGTCGTTCATTAGATCACCAGAGTAAGACAGTAACGACCTGTGAACAAAGGTACGCTCAGATCGAGAAAGAAATGCTAGCAACTGTGTCTGCCCTAGAGAAGTTCAGTGATTACACCTGTGGTCGACTCATGCATGTATACTCAGAGCTCAAACCACTGATCATGATTGGGGATAAGCCGCTCCACAGAGCACCAGGGAGGTTACAATCGATGCTAATACGTCTACAGAAATACAACTGTGAACTGCATTGCGAACAAGGTAAACGCATTTTTGTGGCGGACACATTTTCACGAGCCATACTACCCGACACGGGACACGAACAAAAGCTGGACTCCGTGAATGTTGCATTGGGGGTGACGCAGTTTGAGATATCTCGCGAACTGCAACTATTGACGATCCGAGCATGCAAGAACCCAAAGGGGTTATCACTCGTGGTTGGTCAGAAAGCAAAAAAGCACTTCCGATGGACGTACTGCCCAACTTCAAATTCCGAGATGAACTAACTGTGCACAACGAACTGATTTTTAGTGGTTAAAGGGTGGTCGTACCAAAATTGATTCAACAAAACGTAATACGTTTGATACATTGCTCTCACGCCGGTACCAACGGAGGCTTCAGTCGCGCCAGGGGGACATATTATTAACCGGGTGTCAGAACAGATAAACCAGTTGACTGCCAAATGTGAAATTTGCAGGAAGTCTGACCAGCGACAAACGAAGGAACCGACGAATATGCGTGCAATACTAGAGAGACCATGGCAGATGATAGCGCTGGATATTTTCGATCACGGAAAGGACACCTACTTGATAACTGTTGACTACTACAGTGACTTTTTTGAAGTTGGTTTAATGCGATCCAGCACATCAGCGGAGATCATTGATAAACTGCGCGTTCGTTTCGCACGACACGGAATACCACTTCAGGTGATTTCTGATGGTGGCCTCCAATTTTGTATTACCGACTTCCTGAAATTCAGAGAACAATGGCGTCTTGAGCACCACGTTACTAGCCCCTATCATAGTCAATCCAATGGCAAAGCAGAAAGCGCAGTCAAATAAGCAAAGAACCTTATCAAAAAATGCAGTGCGGATGGTAGCAACCCACTAATGGCCCTGCTCGAGTTACGGAACATACCGATGGCCAACATGGGAACCAGCCCAAGCCAACGTTTATTTGGCAGACGCACACGCACGGTTCGACCCATTTGCGACCAGTTACTACAGCCACAGACTGCGCCATCAATAATCATACAGGCAAGACTAAGGAAACGAATGGCGCTACAGAAGAGGTATTACGACTGCAGCTCACTCAGATCAGGGGACACGGTTTGGATACAACCACTGGAGATAACGGAGAAGGTGTAGGCGAAGGGAGAAGTGACAGCGCGAGCAACAAAAATATCTTATCTAGTACGCTGTGGTCAACGGATAATACGGAGAAATAGAGTTCATTTGAGGAAAGGGGAA